GGGTGAGTGGGTGGGTGGGTGGGTGTGGGTGTGTGGGTGTGTGGGTGGGTGGGGCGGGTGGTGGGTGGGTGTGGGTGTGTGGGTGGGGCGGGTGGGCGGGTGGGTGGGTGGGGGTTCGTAGTAGGGGGAGGCGACAAATCATAATACCAACTCAACCCTAAGCAGCATCTCAATAAAGCAATTGTACGATTCACAATACTCATGGTCCATAAGGAACCACAACAGCCTAAATAGCATCCCAAGATAGTAGCGCTGGGTTCATGATATCCCAATACCGTAATGTAGGACCCTAAACCCTAAAAAGCATCCCAATATAGAAAGGTCGGACCCTAAACTCTACATCCTAATACGATTTGGCCCCCAAGGAACCACAAAGGCACCACGCGCAGCTGCCGGAGGCCGCAGAGCTTCACAAAGATCGAGAGCTCAAAAGAGCACCACAACCGGTCAAAGTAGGTATCCCCTAACCTCAGTGGTCAACTTGAAAGCCTAGTTACCCAAAAGAATGGTTTGGGGTTTAGGGTTGCCTGTATTCCAGAGGTGTAGGACATTTGAGGCAAATAGACTATGATTATGGGCTACTGGCTTCAGGGCTTTGGCCGTAGGAATCAGCATCTACTAGCCTAGGACGGGCGCAAATCCGGGGTTGCTGCATTTGTTATGAATCTCATACATACCCGCTAACCCTATAGTACCCCTTAAGTAGATAGAATATGACTTTGGGTGATTTTACATAAGACCCATATACCCTATATTCTATCTACTTAAGGGGGACTATAAACCCTAAACCAGCTGAACCCGGGCAACAGCACCAGCATCTGATTCGAGCTTGCCACTATGGCAGGCAGCCTCACTGGGTTTTAGGATCAGGGTTTAGTTGGTTCAGGGATTTTGTATCTATGGATTTAGGGTTGCTGGATTAGGGTTTAGGGATTTAAGGTTTAGAGTTTTGGGACGGGTTCAGGGATTCTTGACCGCATTTGAGGGCCTATTAAAAATTTAAATTTTTAAAGGGTACACCACAACGGGGGAACATAGAATGCAGGAATCAGAATCAGAAATCAGCATGCACACATAGGGATACCCAGAGTGCCCTCTGCTGCTGCTGGGTTGCTGCTGCTGCTGCTGCGAGATAGAACTGGCATACATGTGGGAATTCTCAAATCGAAGGCCCTGGTGTTGTATTGTTGCCTATCTACCACTCTGCTGAGCGGCTGACTACTCACTGGTGCTAGAAGTAGTAGTGGCACAACAACTTCTGCTGCTGCCTGCTACCACCGCATCAGTACCGCCATCCGACTACCAGCACCCAACTGGTTCCCCTTGTAGGGTTCGTATATTTCGGTTCAGCAGGTTAAGGGCGCGCGTGGTTTGAAGTGCACGTGGGGCTGGGAATTTAAGGGCTTAGGGTACAAGATTATGATTCAGCGGGCGGGCGGGCTTTGAGATGACAGGTTTAACGATTAGGTTTCATGCCTTGGGATGACAGGGTCTTAAGCTTAAGCTTTCAAAGTTTCAGGTGGTTACCTTACGGTTTAGGGCTCGCCTTCAGCCATCTG